GTCACAACAGTAGAGCATAAACCTTCGTTCTATTAATTATAAGCTTGTTTAATTGTAGTTGAATATATAGAGGTTATCTCAACTATTATAATTAGTTTTAGAATGAATGCCTCATATGACGTGATATTAGAAAGAAAAATTGACAAATTACTGTTGGCAAAGTTCTAACATAAACACATTGGAGTAGATACTAGGTAATGGACCATTGAGGTCATTTGAGCTAAAATCAATAGTAGGAGTATCGAGCATTATATATATTACCCTTGTTCAATTTTAATTGTTGTAATTTAATTTTTTTAATTTTTTAAATATAAATTTCATATACAAATTTAACATAAAAATAATAATTAAAAATTTTGTTAAATCAAATAGAATTACTAAATAAAAACTAAATAAAAGAAAAAAAATTCTTAATTATTATACATTTTATTAAATTTTTATATGAAATTAATGTCCAAAAAATTAAAAATTTAAATTAAAAAGTAACTAGAGAGTATTTTATTTTCATACCCCCATTAAACACGTCAGCCATTGCCCATTGATTTCCCAAATAGCTTGGATAGGACATAACATGTTTTTCTCACCCTACTGTATACGCCTACTTGAACATTCCATATTATCTCCTACCATGTAGAAAATGGGATCAAGAATATATAAGTGGAAGACTGTTACCCGGATTTCACGCCACCACCCCAAACTTTGGTCTTTTCCTTCACTTCCAAATGTCTGTATCTCTCTTTTTCTGTCACGCACTTTTTAAATTTTGTATTTCAACTTTTCCACAACGCTGTAGGTTAGGTAGCAACATGGATCTTCCTGATTGAATAGTATACTAAAATAAAAATCTCCAGTTTTAAATGTACGAAAAATGTATACTCACTTTTGAAATATTATACGTCATGAAGAAATTAATGTCAAGAGCACAAATATAAACTCAAACTGGGACTTCAATCTTATATACAACGCTCTTTAAAACAGCCCTATGCAATACGATTTTCTTCTCAATCTTTTGAAACTCATTCTATAAAAATGGACAAATTCTATCTGTGTAGCCTTTGCGTGTCAAATTTTTGCAAGAATAAAAGATTATTTTATTTATTTATGAAAAATAACTAACTAGTATGATATTGCCTCAAATACACAAAACTGAACACAAAACACAAGAAATAGAAGAAATCAACCTTTTATGCCAACACTAGTTGGCATTTATATGTATAATATGTAGGAAACCATTCAGACCAGTATATATCCATTTCTCCCCATTCACTTTCCGGCACTCCTAAGGCTTTCCAGACAGCCTTTGATGCATTAATTATGTTGTTAGGGCATGGAGGCTGGTAATCATGATCGGCATCACATCCTAATGTAGAGTCACATTCATCAACCACTTTGGCCCTAACTGTCCTTCCATTTCCATGAATGTTAATGAACTTCAAACACCTGCTCCCCTCGTTGTACCATCCTGTTGAAAGTGCCACTAGAGGTTCATCATCTGAATGGTACTGATTGTCACATTCAGATGGTGGACCACCATCACCACCTTCCTGAAAGCTGTTCAAGTACAAAGTTGCATTTGTATGCGTTGAAACAGGAGGCGAACACTTGTAAATTGTATAATTCTTACCCTCCACACAGCAATTAGAATTATTCTCATTGTTGCATTGCCCTGGTGGAGGCTTTTTACCTGTTATCTTGCCACTAGGTGTACATGTCTGAGCTTCAATACATATACAAAGAAAAAGAAGGCAAATTAGAAGAAAAATGCTTGAACAAACTCGCTTCCTCATTTTTTTCCCTTTCTCCTCTTCCTTTTGATATGGTGCCAAATTTCTTACTAGGTAAGGGTATTTGTAGGGCGGAGATACCATTGTTGCTTTATCCTTACGAAACATATATAACAACGTTAAAACAAATATATGATGACTGCATTTTCTTTGTCATTAAAGACTTTGTTAAGTGAAAAAATCTCACATCAATGATATAATAAAAAATTTTGTGGTTAAATAAAAGAAAGACTACTTCATTTATTGTCAATTAATTTGAGGTTGGATGCAAGTTTATATTGAAACCCACATATACAAGTTCCATGTGAGAGGGCGTATTAAACCATATATCTCAATTTTTTGAATGAACTGAAATTAAGGGGATTAGAGAAAGGGTTTATTGGGGTTTGAACATGAAACCCACAGGAGGTGATTTGCACTAACCTTGGAACCCAAGGTCTAAACCACTAGGTTAGATCGAGTGCGGTAATCTAAAATTTCTCAATTTGTATCTTAAATATTCTTGTTCTATTGTCATTGATATATATATATATATTAATAATGTTATAATTACAATATCATATAGGATTATAAGTTTATAATCCTACATGATATTTAATAAAATATAATATAATATTAAATAAGTGAATACATATAATATTACAAATAAATCTTTGAATGAAAATAATTAATTATATAATAATACATTATATTATAAACTTATAATATTATATGACATTGCAACTAGCATTATATATATATATGTGTGTGTGCGCGTGTGGAAATTGTTCCAAACTAGTGTTTTTTAAATTTATGGGCTTGGAACACACTGTTGATTATTTATTAAAATAATATGTATTTTCTTAGTGTTTACATAACATGTGAAGTATTAAGTTAATTATTTTTAATATATTTAAATATTAGATTTGATAAAATGAAAATTTTTATTTATGTATTTAAAATAAAATAATGTCGGCCTGAGAATCCCTTCATTCGGATGCTATGGAGAAACTTTAACCATTTCCTGTCTTGGATGTATTACAATTTTTCTTGCATAGGATTAGTAACCTAGTGGACACGCTTATTTCCCCAATAGAACGGATGGTTCTAATTTTGATACGTAAAAGACTGTGGATTGAATTTTTTAGATTTATAAATAAGATTTGTTTAATTAGTGTTTTAAAATTATGTATTAAAATTATATTAATGGAATATTTAAATTAATATTTATACTTTTTATAAAAATTAATTATAAAAAATACATTTATTGCGTACTTAAATTATATCATAAAAATATAAAATAAAAATTCTAAAAAAATAAAATATAATCCATCACTTAAAAATTTTACATCTTATAATAATGGATAGAGATATAGACCCTTAGTATTAATTGAAGACCACCGCTTTATCAATCATTTTTTTTCTAAAAACAAGCACAGTTCGCAACAGCATGCTTTTTCGTCCAAATTCGAATAATTTAAGAGAGCCTACAGTTACGTATGGTCTACCAAAGAAGTTGGAGAGAATACAGTCCATGTTTTTTCCATTGTCCAAAGGATAATATTTAAGAAAAAAAGGT